GCAATTTCTGTGAAATCAATATTTATTTATGATTTTTTTTAGAAAAGTGTAAGCTCCTTTTTTTATCTGCATCTGATTAAGCATTCCAGGATGAACTAATCGGTCATTTTTGAGGTCAGGTCAACTTTTACAGAAACCAATTTGGTGTCAATTTGGCCAAAAGTTGCTGAGAAAAAGAGGCGTGTTCATGCAACAGGGGGGCAGACTGAATGTGAAAACTGGAAAATATAAAATATGCAGATATAGATATATTTTAAAATGTCATCACTGTTACAAATGATACATTTATCCTGTATTTTTTTCAGATTTTACTTGCTATTTTCTGTAGTGAAGTTGTGGTCCACAGAAATGCAGCTCTCTGTCGCCACCATGTGGCTGAGTCAGCACACTTCATCTTTGCAACAAAATTTATTGTTATGTTCATTTATTTGTGGCACAATAAACGTCAAAACTCAATTGTTAAACATTTTAATACACACATAAATTGTTTTTTTGCTATAAAACCCTTATAAATCAATGTTTACAGATGTAATCACTGTCACAGTTTCTATTCCTGCATCAGAATGAACTCATTCTGAAACCAGCCTTGTTGCCAAACTGCTGCATGTTGCAAAAAGCATTGCTTTATTTGAACTTCAGGTTTTTTCTTTTAACTCAAAATCCTCAGCTCATAGTTGTGCCATTTAAACAAACATAGAGGTAAATATAGTTTAATTGTTCAGCTTCAGTTTTTATTTAAGCAGAGTATTTTTCTAATAGGATAACCTTTAATGTCTCTCAGTGGGGCGATACAGATGCATCAGCAGCATTTACATTTAGGGTAAGAGTGAAAAAAGAAAAGACAGAAACAGTAAGTTGAACATCAAAAATATGTAAATATAAAGAGGAAAAACAGAAGTGTTGATAACAAGAAGCGTGAGCACCAAAATACAAGAACTTGAAGTTTATAGAACAAAGTTGACTAATCTGAATACTTTTTCAATTACTTCAAAATATATATAAGATATTTCACACTAAAACACAAACAAAACAATGGTTTAAATGTTTCCCCTGTGTGATTTTGGAACTGTTTCATGGTCATTTGTGAAACCATCATAAATTTCCGTTTAAACCCACTGTTGCACATTACAAAAAACGAAACTAAAACTCATGTTTTAAAAAAAAAAGGTTTGACATTGTTTTCCACACATACCACAAACCACCATTTTCTCGCTCAGCAATTAGTCATAAACCTGTTCATTCAAAAATACATTAAAAATGAACCCTATTGGTCAAAAAATTACAAATGGATTTGCAAGTTTTGCATCGTAACATCCACCTTTCAACATTTGTCGCAGGATGATGTCATCATCCTGCGACAAATGTAAATGCTAGCCGCTGCTGAAGATGGCAATTAAACTTTAAATAAAAAAAAAACATGTTCATTAAAAACATTGAGGTCCGGCAGTTTGAAGTGCAGCTTGGACTCCGGCTGCAACTGCAAGTTCTTGGAGGGAAGCGTTAGCAATTTTAGCTTTTGTCTCAGGGTGATGACATCATGACAAACGCAAAGGCCGTGTTCCATTCCAAAATACYAAAAATAAAAGTTTAACATTTAAGATTTTACTTTTACATTTAGATTTACACATCTACATGTAGAATTTATTATTTACACAAATTGTTTAACGTTTTCATTTCACATTTTGTAAAAAAATTAGCAACATTAAGTGAGATAAATAATAAAATGTTAGTGGAAAATGGTAACACTAAGTGAGCTAAAAAATGAAAATATGTTAGTGACATTGAATCAGTGGTGGGCGGGCACAGTTCACCTAAAGCGCTAATAGAGGAATTAATTTCTTGATTAGTGCTGTAGGGTTTTTGCTAATTTTAAAGAGTAACTTACCCCAAAATTTACTTTTTTAGCCAATAAACTGTCTAGAATGTGTCTAAAATGTTATATAGTACTG